TTTATTGGTGGCCTGAGCTTTGAAATGACAGACAATAGCTTAAAAGAACATTCTGAGAAGTGAGGAACATTTACAGACTGTGTGGTAACGAGAGGCCATCAACAAAACATTCCAGAGGTGGCTGCAGGAATGTGTGCTGGACCACACAGGGTTGATGGGCAGGTGGTGGGACCAAAGAGCCATTTTTAGAGAGGGGTCTATAAAACCTGGTGCACATTTAACAGGGAAGAATTTTTTGTTGGTATTAAAGACGATACAGAAGGATACAAGCTGAGAGACTCCTTTGAAAAGTATGACAGATTGCAACCATCCAAGTTCTGGAAGGCAGGCAGAGTGGGGGGGGGAAAGAGAGGATTTGCTTTTGTAACTTTTGATGATCATGACCCAGTTGATAAAATTGTTGTTCAGAGATACCAGCTGTCAATGGGCATAATTGTGAAGTGAAAAGGGATGTTTCTAAACAAGAGACACAGTCTGCTGGCTCGCAGGAAAGTCTATCAATGGGCAGAATTGTGACGTGAAAGAGGCCGTTGTGTCATGGGATACAAGAGATACAGACTGCTGGATCGCAGAGAGGTTGGGGAGGTGGGTCTGGCAACTTTATGGCTCATGTAGGAAACTTTGGCTGTAATTTTGGTCTTGGTGGAACGGGAGGCTATGGTAGCGGAGGTGGTGACAGCAGACAGAGGTAGTTACGGAAGTGGTGATGGTGGACATAATGGACTTAGGATATGGTGGCCACTGTGGTAGTGGTTATGGTTCCAGTCATAGGAGATGCTGTGGTAGTGGTGGTCATGGACCAGGATCTGCAAACACAGGAGGTGGCTGTGGGGCAGGAGGAAACTTTGGTGGAGGCAACTGTGATGGTGGTGGTGATGACGGTGGCGATGATGGCGGTGGTGGTGGTGGGAACTACAATGATTTGGGGGATTATAGTGGACAACAACAATCAAGCTATGGATCCACACGAATGAAGGCAATGTTGCAGGATGCTCTGACAGTCCCTAGGGTGGTGGCTACGGGGCTGGTGGTGGATCTAGTAGCAAAAGGTTTGACCAACAGCAGAAAATGGCTACGGAAGACAGCAAGGAGTTGTCAGGAGAGCTGTAGGTTACTTTGAGATCGTCCTCCCAAATACATTAGAGGAGCTGTAAAAAAAAGTCAGCCACGGAAGGAACAATGCATAGTGGTAAATGTCACTGCAGCTTAAACAGGAAACCCTTCCTGTTTAGGGCCGTCATAGCATGGTTTGCAAAACGTGCAACTGTTTACTAATGCCGTGTAGTGTCAATTAGATGTACATTCTGGAGGTCTTTAATCTATTTCTTTTCATTACACCCAGTATATTGCCCTGTAAATTGTAGAAGTGGTGCCAGGAATAAAAAAAAAAAAAAAAGGAATGTTTAACTTTAAAAAAGAAAGAAAACACATGCAGATTTAAGCAAGAGAAGCTGTTACAGTGTGCCTGGTAAAACCTGGGTGGACTCAGGCTGCTGTTATTATGTAGAAACCATGTGCAGGTTTAAGCAAAGGTTTTGTCCCCCACGGCTTTCTCCTGAGATAGCTATGCAGAACATTTGATACAATACTTTCCCTTTAGCTCTCATCATCAGGACTGTCTGAGATACTCCCAGGCTTGTCCTTCATGGTGCTCTCCATACTTTGATACATTCCTGGCTTGCTTCAGAACAGTGGGTGCTGCCACATGTTTGAATGAGGTGGAGGATAATGCCTTAAGCAATGAGAGGACTGGCTTGATTCTGGATCCTGTAGGGGAGGCCCTGGAAGACTTGAGCAGAGTGATGCAATTCTACCTGTTTTTTTTTTTTTTTTTTTTTTTTTTTTTTCACAAAACCTTCCTGACCTCTCTGTGGAACACTTGAGTAGGAGCAGTTAGGTGGGAAGGGATGGAAGTAAAGACACCGGTTAGGTTAGGAGGCCATTGATGTCGGCTAAGTGAAAGTGCTGGCTTAGACCAAGGCTGTAGTAGTGTGTCCCTGAGAGATTTAAACTGTTTTAAAGTAGGGAGAATAGCTTTGGAACAGGTGAGGAAAGGGACTTGGGACTCTGGAGCCTGGAATGACCTTTTATGTCGAGAGCAGACACAGGAAAGCCAGGCCAGTGAACAGGAATTAGGAGTTTGATTTAGGCATATCAAATTTGTAACAAATGTCAGTTGTGTCATCAGCTTTAATGTGAGATGAAGTCTCAAAAAGGAGCATTAAATGTGTGTGGGTCACAGGGATTATCCTGGGGCTCTTTAACTTACGGAGATCGGGACGGGGCTTGGGAACAGGCAGAGCGATAAGAGAATCCAGGGACAATCTAGAACCAGACTAGAAAATTTAAAGGAGCAAGGATGAACTCTGTCAGATCCAAAGCCACAGAGAAACCCTGTCTGGGAAACTCCCCCACCTCACCCCCCCAAGGAGGTCGTTACATTCTTTAGCAAGAACATTTTGGTTGGAGGAGCAAGGATGTAATTGGGTTTCTTCATGAGAAAAGAAAGGGAGAAATTAGACACTGGAACTGTCTGGAGTTAGAATTTGTAGTCTGGCTCTAAGAGTTATGTGTTCAAATTAACTGGTGATAAGGTGTCTCGGCATGAAAGGTCACTTACTTTAGTCACCAGCTTTAAGTAATTAAATAAGACCCATCTCACATAGACTGCTGGAAACCTCCTAGGTATCTGGCTAGGCTTTCTCTCAAAATCCTTGACTCTAAACTCTGCTGCCTGGCTTTCTTTTTTTCTTTTCTTTCTTTCTTTTTTTTTTCTTTTCTTTCTTTTTTCTTTTCTTCCTCTTCTTTTTTTAAATAGGCTCTCACTGTGTAGGCCAGGATGCCTTCCACTCATCATTGTCCTGCCTTGGGCTCCAAATGCTGGGATCTCAGGCCTGTGTGGCCTCACCTAGTTACCCCCATGCAACATCTCAAGGAAAGCGCTCTTTGCATCTGGACCCAGGGCAAGGCTCTAACTTAACAGAAATCCTTGGGAAACTTTGTCTATGGACTTTAGAGACTGGAATTGGAGTTCTCACCATCTGAAGAAAACATGTCAAAACCACAGAGTAAGTCACAGTGGCAAGATAGTCCTCCTGCAATGAGCTGGTTAACTAGTCTCTCTTGTGCTTTGTCGTTGGTTCTGAACCCAACTCCCCCAGGGCTGCTTTTTTGCCTGCCCACAATTGCAAGGCACGTCTTTTGTTTGCTTCTAGTCTCAAAGAAAGGCTTATTTTTGAGGTTTGGACCACAAATAATAATCCATTGTTCCCTATAATAATAATCCACCCTCTGTGAGTAGAAAAAAATTTGCCTGATGCAGTGTGGCTATCAGTTTATTTAAAAGAATAGCCAAAGTGCCCATTATATTCTGAGAATAAACATTTGCAGGATGGTTGGGAGGAATGAGGGGGTGCTCTTATTCTCCTTGGCTAGAGTCACAATTAAGCCTTGGGGAGAAAATGACTGTCGGTCCCATGACAATGATGGTCTGTTACATTCTAAGTAATTGAACATAGCAGGTATTTATTCCAACTATCTCTTATAAGAATACCTTATTTTGCAGATGCGTATTTTTAAGTTAACAGTTTCAGGGCAAATGCATTTAGCCTGTGAAAGTGTCTCTGTTTGAGTGAAGACTTTTACCAAGGCTGCCTCCTCTATCCGCTCCCACAGTTGCCTCTAATTACAGATGGGGGGGGATGGTGGTGGCGACATTTTAAAATTGCAAATAGTAGACAAATTTTAATTAGCATTCCCTGGACTTAGGCTAACTGAACAAACATGGAGAGTGAAATACAAATCTAAACCAGTATGATCAGCTCTTTCTAAAGGACTCATGTCCCTAGCACAGGGAAATTTTAAGGGAGGTAAGATTTCATTTACAAAACCAAATACATATTTTTCTGCCTTGAGTCTTTTTTTTTTGGATGCTGAGGGCACCAGATCTCATAATAGATGGTTGCGAGCCACCCTGTGGTTGCTGGGAATTGAACTCAGGACCTCTGGAAGAGCAGCCCATGCTCTTAACCTCTGAGCAATCTCTCCAACACCAATTCGGTGATGTTTAGGGCAGTGAAATATTATATATGATACCTTAGAGAGGGATATACATTGTTTCACTCACTGTTAAAGCCCATAGGACTTAGAGAAAAAGAGTCTTCACAAGAGTGAGCCCTAATGCAAACTAGAGACCTTAGTTAACAGTAATGTAGCAAGGTCTGTTTATAATTGAGGCAAATGTATCACGCTGATGCCAGATGTTGATGACAGAGGAGGGGATAAAGTTTGTGGGAACTCTACACTTTGCATTCAGGTTTCTGTAAACATGAAGCTGCTTTTACTGTTTGTTTGTTTGTTTTTTGCCAATTTTTAAGGTGTGTTTATTTTATATGTATGTATGTGCACCACATCCAGGAGGTTGGATCCCCTGGAACTAAAGTAATAGATGGTTGTGAGCTACCATTGTGAGAATTGGGCCTAGGTCCTCTTCAAAAGCAAAACGTCCTTTACACTGATGAACCATCTTTTCAGCCCCAAAAGTAACTCCTCCCACTCTCCAAGCAGGATTTTACTATGTTTCCCTGGCTGACCTGGAACTCACTGTGTAAACCAAGCTGTACTCGACTCATACAGTCTGACTCCTCTGCCTCTGGAGTGCTGGGATTAAAGACATTTGCCACCACACCTGGTTCCTTTGTTAATTAAAAGTAAAAAAAGAACTATAGCCAAACTAGTGAAAAATATTTAATTAATAAAAATCATTACCTGCAATCCCAACACTAAAAAAGGCCAGAGTAGGAGGATTCTGTGTTCAAGGTCAGCCTGGACTATGTTGTTAGGCTCCATCTCCAAATAAAACACATGCCTCCCAAACAGTTAAAACCAAACCAAACCAAACCAAAAAACAGTGAGCAACTACTCCGGAGAAATCCAGTACCTCTCTTTCTTTGGTAAACATGTACTGTGGTATTTCTACTAAATCCTGATCTTAAACTTTGTTCTTTTCTCTTCAGTGACAGCCAGAATGTCAGCCCTGGAGGTACATACTCCCAAGGAAATCTTCGTGGTGAATGGGACACAAGGGAAGCTGACGTGCACATTCGATTCTCCTAATACAACTGGATGGTTGACCACAGTCTCCTGGAGCTTCCAGCCAGACGGCACCGACAGTGCAGTGTCGGTGAGAACCGTCCTCTCACCCCTCCCTTCTGTCCCCCTCTTCCTTCTGTGGTCATTGCTTCTCACAGACTGCTCTATTGCTATCATGTGATCAGTGGTCCACTCCTACCATCCATCCCTTTCTTCTCTTGCTTTGTAATGTTCCAGGAAAAAGTTTGCTCTGCATCTCATAAATGCAGCTTATTCCCTTGTCTTTTTATTTACTTCTCTTGCCCTCACCACCCACCTCTGACCATCAGATCTCATTTGGAATTATTCACTTCCGCAGGGCAGCCTCTACTGGGCCATGCTGACTGTAGTCACATTTTATCCCGTAGTTTTCCAGCTTATATTTGCTCCATTTTTTATTTCTATTTATTTTATTTTATCTGTCTGCCTGTCTATATCCCACACATGGAGGTATATATAGTCCCTTGTGATGTAATGATGTTTTTGTTTTTTAATTGGGCTTGTAGTGTTTTTTAATTGGGCTCCAGTATTTACTGGGACCTTACCATGCCATTGGTATGCAAGGTCTTGGAGCTGGAGAGATGGCCCAGTGGCTAAGAGCACTTGCTGCTCTTCCTAAAGACCCAAATGGTGGCTCACAACCGCAATTCCAGTTCCAGGGGATCTGATTCCCTCTTCTTGCCTCTGAGGACTTCTGTGCACACATGGTACACAGACATAAATGCAGGCTAAACATCTCTGTACATAAAATGAAACTAAAAGGGCTCAGGGAAAGTGTCTTTGCTCTTACCTGAGAGCAATGAGAAGTGACCCGGCGAGTAGCTGCCAGGGTGATGGGGGACACAACAGAAGGAAAGTACTAAGAAGATGGACAGAAAAAGTACATTGGTGTTATTTTATTCCCTCCTTGATGCTGTGATAAAATACTCTGTCAGAAGCAACTTAAAGGAGAAAGGGTTTTATCTTGGCACACAGTTCACAGCCCAGTCATTATGGAAGGAAGAAGTCAAGACATCTTGAAGTATCTGGTCACATCACAGTGACAGCAGGGAAGCAGAGAATGGCAAGTGTGTACACAGCTCACTTCTTCCTTTCTATACTGTCCAGATCCCAACCAGGGAATGATGCCAAGCACAGTGGGCAAATCTTCCCCTATGAGTTAACTAAGTCAAGACAATCCCCTCAGGCATGCTCAGAAACCCATCTTCCTGGTGTTTCTAGATTTCATCAATAATTGAAATTAATCATCATAGAAAACCAGTGACTGGCTAGAAGCTAGTTGTGTAGTGGGTGCTTGGTAGACATGGACCAGCTGTTCTGATTTGCGTCTATAAAATGGAGCTAATGAAACCTCCCACAGAGGGGCGTTGACAAGAGGAAAGCTCACAGTATGGTGTTTAACTTTTGAGGCACTAATATAGAATTCATGTACTGTTGTCCTGTTGGTCCATTGTGTGTCCTTTAGATACTGGCTCCTGCTTTAGCAATGTTGTACACTTTAGATTGTCAGTACTTGAGAGGTAAAGAATGCCAGCCATCATTCAGTAAAAGTATCTAATACCTGAGCCAGGTGTGATGGTACACACCTTTAATCACAGCACTTGGGAGGCAAAAGTGGAGGGATCTCTGTAAATTTGAGGCCAGTCTGGGTCTATAGAGTGAGTTCCAGAACAGCCAGGGTGACATAGTGATACCCTGTCTCAAAAAACAAACAAACAAAAATAACAACAACAACAAAAAAAAACACAAACAGAATGGCAACTCTTCTCTGGCTGATGAGTGCTGTAGTTTGAATGTGTTCCCCAAGAGTTCATGTTGGAAGCTTAGTCCCCTAAGTGTTTTTTAGAGGTTGTTAGGGTGAGATTAGGTAAAGTGATGAGAGTATCGACCCATGATGCATTAGTCACTCTAGAAGCAGAGAGTCTTGCCCTAGAGCACTTGTTCTATCTTCCCATATGATCCCCTCTGCCATGTTCTGATGAAACAAAGCTCCTCTCTAGCCACCAAGCCAGTGTCAGCACCGTGGAGTTCCCACAATTCAGCCTACTGCTTACAGATACTCAGTCTAGGTGCTGGCTCACTGTATGCCTAAGCCATAGTCCTTTTTCTATGAGAGAAGATGGGGGGAAGAAAGGAAGAATGGACCCTAGCCATCTCCACCACTCCTCAAGGAATACAGCAACTTCCTGTTGGGTGCAGATAGATGTGAGTCCCTTATGGTCTCCCCTGGGAAAACTCTGTAAATGACCATAGTTACTATAATCAAAACAGCTTTTGTTTGGCCCAAGTGGCTTTGTGTTAAAATGTGATATCAAAAGTGTCTACTCCCAGTGGGAGTGGTGGTGGCATTTGGGAGGCAGAGGCATGTGGATCTCTGAGTTCAAGGCCAGCCTGGTCTACAGAGCGAGTTCCAGGATAGCCCAGAGTACACAGAGAAACCCTGTCTCAACCCCCCCCCCCCCAAAAAAAAAGAAAAGCTATGTACTCCTTGTTGAAGTTAGTTTCCTGAGGAAAAGCACTGTGTCTAGGTGGAAGAAAAGTCTTGGGTGAGCATTTACTAATGGAGAACCTCTAAACATAATATCTGAAAGGACAGAAAATGTTAATTTAACTTCCTTCCTAGGTCTAGTTGGGTATGATTTAAGTAAGGCAAGAAATGTAGAATGCCTGCCCTGAGGTTTCTACTTTTAGAGTAGCTGTGAGAGCGATAGGAGGAATCCAAAGAAATGTCTGGAGAGTCGATACAGGGATTCTGCTTCTATGAGTAGAGCATTAGTGAGGAACATGGCCAGTATTCCATAGACGAAAATGGATCACACATGTTTATTTAAGAGTGTCTAAAAGAAGACCCTTAAATTTGGGGGTTTCTCTTCTGCTTTAGGATGTCAGGGGTTTATTCAATATATAGAACATAAATATAACCTGAGGTTAAAAACTTCTGTTTTTCTTTTCTGTCTTTAAAAAAAAAAAAACAAAGTCTCTATTATGTAGCTCTGGCTGTGTTAGAACTCACTCTGTGGACCAGGCTGGCTTGGAACTCACTGAGATCTGCCCACTTCTGCCACCTGAACGCTGGAATTAAAGGTATGCGCCACCACTGCCTGGCTGAAGAGTAGATTTCTAAGCTCATTTTTTTATGCTATAATAAAGTGGCAATGACTGACTGGGTAATTTAAAGGAACACAGATTTATTTCTTATAGATCCAGAGTCTGGAAAACTGAAGACCACTGAACCTGGCATTGGGCTAGGACTTTGTTGATGTGCCATCCTGCAGGGGAGACCAGAAAGATGAGAGAATAAAGGCCCCTTGCCAAACCCTTGTGTGATTTGCTGTCTTTCTGTGGGATTTGTTTTAGAAAGAACCCCTACAGCACAGCATGGCTGTGACTTACAGACGACAAGAACTCTGCCTTCGAGGGTAGCTCATATCTTCTTGTTTTCTCATTGCAGTTTTTCCACTACTCACAAGGACAAGTATACATTGGGGACTATCCACCATTTAAAGACCGAGTCACCTGGGCTGGGGACCTTGACAAGAAAGATGCATCAATCAATATAGAAAATATTCAGGCTGTTCACAATGGCACCTATATCTGTGATGTCAAAAATCCTCCTGATATTGTTGTCCGGCCCGGACACATTAGGCTCCACGTGGTGGAAATAGGTACTTCCCACAGTGGTTGATGTGATGGGACACGGTCTCTTTTATCATGTATAGCTGGAGAATAAGATTTACATTTCAAGGTGCATTTGGAAGGAAATGTTTTGGGAATGTATTTTTATGGTGTTGGATATCAAACGCTGGCCAAGTATTCTAGCACTGAGCCACATTCTAAGCCCTGCTGGGTCGACTCTTGCCTTTCAGCTGTGTTTCCCATCTCTGTGGACTCAAGACTTAGCCCAGCAGAGCTGATGATTGGGGAACTGCTGATTAGTCAACACAACAAGTGGCTTCCCTTTACACACCTGTGTCTGGAGCCGTGGCTTTGATTTCAGGCATATTAGTTGTTTGGTGTTAAGAGCAAGAATGACCAAATTCACTATGGCTGGATGAAGTAGGCTTTAGGAAAGGGAGACTGGGCCTTTTGGTATTGTCTAGGATGATATTTTAGTGTCTTTTACAGCAATACAGAAATTTCTCACCTCGTTTAAAGATGTGAAGGAATGCAAGTTCCAGTGTCTTCTCTTGAGGTGGCAGCCTGATGCTGGAGATGATTGTTGTAAATTCATATCTCCAGATTTGCTTTGACTGTAGAATGTGGGGGAGGGGTTATGGGTGTAGAAATGCTCGGCTCTCTAGGTCATTTTCAACTGAAATGCCATGGGCATCCAGCTGTGGGTCATTAGATGCCGCTCTGTGTAATTTGGCTACTGAAAGAGGATAAATAAAATGGTAACTACCAAAGGAAGACTCTTATTAAATTAACAAAATTCCATTTCTTCTCTGTGTGCCCCCTTCCCCTACCTCCCCCTGTTCTCTCCTCTAGACAATTTGTTGGTGTTCCTGGTTTGGGTGGTGGTGGGCACCGTTACTGCCGTGGTCCTTGGCCTCACTCTGCTCATCAGCCTGGTTCTGGTTGTGCTCTACAGGAGGAAACACTCGAAACGGGATTACACTGGGTAAGAACTGCTCTTTGTCAGAGAAGGGTTGGAGAGAAGAAGTCAGGCTTTATAAAAACTTACTTTGTAATGGGAAAAGCACCGTGAAGGGTTATCTGCTGTTTGCTTTTCCATCGGGCCCAAGCTGTCCTCGGTGTTGGTGTGAGGAAGCAGATGTCTGGGCTTGCTGTTAGCTGCAGAAAAGGATGCTGAGCTCCCTTCTGTAGTTTCCTTCTGAGGCTTGGGGAGATGAATTGCTCAGCAGTTAGGGGCTGAGTTTCAGTGCCATCCACTCAACAATTAGAATTTTTAAGCCACAGACATCACTTACCCAACTAAGATGTTAATTTTGCCAGGCATGGTGGCACATGTCTGTAATTCTAGTTTTTGGGAAATAGTTCCAAGGACACCCTTGGTTACATAGTGGTTTTGAGGCCAGCCTGGGCTAATGAGACCTTGTGTCAGAATAACAACGGGGCCTGGCAAGATAGTTCAGCAGGTAAAGATGGTTGCCCCCAAGATGAATGACAGGGTTTGATCCCTGAAGCCCATTTGGTAGGAGGGAACTAACTCCTTACAAATTCTTTTGACCTTCATTTGCATGTCATGGTATACAAGTGTGTGCCTCCCCGATTCACCCCTAGATTCCCCACACACAAATAAATGTAAAAAAAAAAATAATTTAAATGAGAAAAGGTTAAAAATAGTTTAATCGTATTGTGTTGCTACTAATCTTACAAGGGACTTCCCTTTGCTCCGGTATATAAAACACCCCTGGAGATGGTCTGCTAGTAAATGGCCCTCCTAGCTTGGTGTGATGCAGGGATTCTCTTTGCTATAGTTCCCACCCCACTACAAGCTGAGCAGCTTCATTGCTTTGCTCTTTCTTGGTTGCGTGCATCTACAGTGGGAGAAGTAAGAGTTATGTTAAAACATAACAGGAAGAAAGAAGATGTGGCTTTGTTACAATGTCTCGCCAGGGATGTTTGGTGTAGGGCTGTGTCTAACTGCAAGACCTTCTCTTTTCCCTACTCCAGCTGGAAAGCTAACCCATATAAGCTATAGCACTCACGAGGTAAGACTGAGTATGAAGGCTGCATTCATGTTGGTATAGCCTGAGCAGCATCACACACACGAGCTAACTTGAGCCATCCTAGAGGAACTGTGGTTAGAGAGGGTTGCATGCTCGAATGGTGGGAGCCTCTCTGTGGGCTTTGCTGACCTTGAGATGTTAGGGGTGCTGTGTTTAAGCAAGTCTGAGTGTTCTGATTCAGGTATTACTTGCTTGGAATGCATCTCTTCTGCTGACTATTGCTCCCTTGCATGGGGTGTGTTTTGTGATTAAATGTAGAGGAATTGATGGTTTTCAACATGAGACTAATCTAAGGCAGTAACGCTTCAGACCGTAGTTCTCGCTTGGAGTTAATAAAGTGAGCAGGAGCAGGTTTCTTCGGTCCTGCATGGCATCATGGTTGCTGCTGTTCTCATTTTGGTCATCCCTCCTTCCTCCCTATACACCATTTCCTGCTTTTCTTCCTGGGTGTGCTGGGACCTACTTATTTTCCCTTCTTAAAAAACAGCTGACATAGAAGACGCATTGGCATTGTAACAGGGCCAGGTCTCCTCTTCTACTCCACTAGACACATGGTAACTGATCACATTGCCCAGTACTGTTAATATTATGTGTATATGTTCAGCCCATTCCCATTAGTGACACTAACCAGCCTGCTCAGTGCTAATCCAACAGCTATTATGGTCTGTTCATAGGTGTGTCATTTGACTGTACTGAAAACATAAAACATAACATCCAGATGAAGTTAGTGTGTGCATGCATGCCCTTCATGTAAAATATGTGTATGACTTTTATACATGAATTTTATTGTCCGTGATCAAGACCTCCTTTGGGTTCGAGTAATCAAACAGTTTGGCTTAGGGCATGTAGTCTCCCATTCCAGAGAGGGCAGTTTGCAAAGTGCCCAGGATGCTTTGGTCTTAGTAATGACACCTTTGATGTGGTCCCCTCCAGACTCCTTGCTTCTTCAGATAGTATGGCAGCACTAAGGACGCAGCCCTCATAACGGGCTGCCTATTCCGTCTCCCTCACTTATTCATGAGGTAGGACTTTGTAAAGATGTCCCCATGCTTCTCACGGAGTTTAGCCCACGTGACATTCCATGTGGCATCCCAGAGTTTCTCATGGTTCATGACTTCCTGAATGTTTGTGTTTTGAGGTTTTTGTGTTTTTGGTTTTGTTTGGTTGTGATGTTGATAGGGAAACAAAACGTGGGAAACTGAAGAGTGGGAGGAGAAGGGGAGGCACGGAGCCGAATCTGAACGTGGACCTGTGATTCCCCAAAGTCATCTGGAAGAGGCTTTCCTTGCATGATGACTAAAGTGCTTGCCCATTAAGCTAGAAAAACTTAATTCTTTAAATGTTTATCCTGAAGCGGTGGGTGGCGGGAGGAAAAACAGCACACCATACAGAAACAGTGCTGCTACTTGCCGCCCTCAGCAACATGCTGCCTGGGTTAGGCTAATTCCAGAGTTGCAGGAGGGAAAGACAGTTTTAAGCTATAGATGTTCTGGAGCCCCACTGTTTTGTTTTCTGTTGATTTTATGTATCTGTTGCTTCATTGTGCCGTCTTTTGCATCACTATACTTTTTGTTTCCATTTATTGTATTTTTTTGTTTTGTTTTTACATTTGTTCTTCAAATTGTCACTTCATCCATCAGCTGCAGTACATCAGAGCGTTTGTCACCAGTTAAGCAGGCTCCACGGAAGTACCCCTCCAACACAGAGGGCCTAGTAAAGAGTCCGCCTTCCACCGGATCTCATCAGGTAACAGCTGATGGCACTGTGCTCTAAGGTTTGGTACACTCTAACTTCTTGGGTATGAAGGAGAATACTGTGATATTCTCACTGTAGTAGACATGCAGAGACAGAGAGGAAGATGGACCAATTAAAGGGCCAGTCTAAGAAGATCACAGGAAAATGTCTTGCAAAGAACTGATCTCAGGGAAGTTTCCCACCAAACCACCACTAATGTTAATTAAAAGGCGTCTCCTTTGGCCCAAGTACTAGTAGCAAGTGGCTTTGTCAGTGGTAAAACATTCTTCAGTTGCCCAAGAAAGTAAAATTTAATGAACTATATTCTAAAGAACTCTAAGAATTTGGCAGACAAGAGCTGGGTGGCATGTTGTTAGTAAAGTTCTTGGAAGAGGACCTGTGTTCAGTCTAACATAAAAGAAGAGGGGAAACCACATGTGGTGACATACACTTCCAGTGACAGTGCTGGAGAGGAAGGGACAACGGACCACTTAGGCTCACTGGCCAGCTAGCCTAGCCTAACCGGCAAGCCCCAGCTCTCAAGACTTTGTCTCACTGGGCATAGTGGAGCACACCTTTAATCCTAAGCACTAGAGAGGCAGAAGCAGGAGGATCTCTGTGAGTTCAAAGCCAGCCTGGTCTACATAGTGAGTTCTAGGACAGACAGGGCTATGTAGAAAGACTCTGTCTCAAAAACAAAACAAAACCAAAAAACCTGGGGTTGAGGGGACCAGAGAGAAAGAGAGAGAGACCCTGTATCCAAAGGAAAGCGGAAGGCATCTGAGAAACCACATACATACAGGGTAGTCTTTATTTAGCACATGCACATATACTTATGCGTGCACATATGAACACACACAGAGAAATCAGCAGGGAAAGTTGGTGTTCTCAGTATTAATCCTAAAACAAGAAATATATTTCATGACCAGCCACAATGGTCAGGATGCAGAGTACCAGAAAATTTGTTTTCAGGGAAAAGTTGTGGTATTCTTGGTATTGATAATAAAACAGAAAATTGATTTTCTTTAGAAATAAAATTGAGAGGCTGGAGAGATGGCCCAATGGTTGGGAGCTCTTGGCTGCTCTTGCAGAGGACCCTGGTTCAGTTCCCAGAACCCACATAGTGGCTCACAATCATTTATAACTATAGTTCCAGGCAATCCAGTATCCTCTCCTGACCACAGAAGAGGGGAAACACAGCTGTGGTGAATGCACATATGTGCAGGCAAAATACTCAAACACATAGAAACAACATCAAATAAATCTAAAAATGTTTTAATCAAGAGGAAATGCTTAGCCAGATAATTTATCGGCTAGATGAATAAGGACAGGTGTTTGGTTTCTACTTCCTGTGGGAAGTTCTGAAGAGACTGTCTTTCATTTGGAATTTAGTGCAGGACCTAGCACCCTGCTTCATGTTGTGCTTTTGCTGTGTCGTTTTGAGCTGTAGTAACTATAGCTTCGTCAGAGCATCACAGCTTAGTGCCCATGGGGTCTGTGTGCAACAGCAATCATCCTAAGGAGTTTGGCCAATTCTGCTCTACCCTAAAATGGTAACAGCTAAAGGGACTGTTTCACAAACAGTAAAAAGAACACACACACACACACACACACACACACACACACACACACACACACATTATATATGTTCCATGGGTTTTATATGTGGTGAGGAAACTTACTTCAGTGAGGAAACTGAGGCATTGTTCTGAATTTCTCAAAGCACACCACACTATCAGAATTAGGGTTCAAACCCAGTCTCCTAGACAGCAGGCAGCATCAGGCTCATAACCTGTTCCTGTCCTGCCCCCCCTCCCTGCATTGCCACAATATACCTCAGTTTACTGATTTGGGTCCTGACTAGGAATACGGCTGTAATGAAGTCAGAAGAGATACAAAGAGGTTTAATGGCTAAAGAAGCCTTGGGGAGGTTTCATTCTGCCCCTGGAGTAAGGAAGGTATTGCCCTTCTGCTGAAAACGAACTCTTAGTTTCAAACGGTGAAACATGGCTTTCAAGACATTGTAAAATAGGTCACACAACACTCTGATTTCTCAAAGAAAAGGACAGTGCAGGCCCTGTCACTGCACCAGCGTGCCACAGCCTAGTGCAGAGAGGGAAAGTGGAAATGGCTGAGCTCAGCTGTGTCACCGAACTGCGGAGGTGGAACTGAGAGTTTTGGGCTGAGTATAGGTTTGTGCATACATGGTAGAACACTTTCAAGAGCAGGGAAAGAACTATAGTGCTTGGAGCTCACCAGGAGCTGGGAATAGTTTGTAGAGAAATGTAGAGACTACTCATGCTTGGAGTAGTCACACCTTTGTAGGTGCTTAAAGTAATATCCAAATAAAGGGTACTTGACCCATTTTACAGAGCTTGAAAAGAAGCCTTTAGAATTTCAACTCATCCAGAAGTGATTTTGCTGTATGCCACAACAGAATGTAGCAATCCCTAACAAGCCGTGCCCAATAGTGTAAAATCCATAATGTCTGGTGCCGATCAAAAAATGACTAGGCAAATGGCCAGGTGTGGTAACACATACTTGTAATACCAGTACTTGGGAGGCTGAGACAGGAAGAGTGCCTAAAGACAAAGCTGGGCTACACAGAAGCCCTGCCTCAAAGAGGGCCAAGGGAAACAAACGAGACATACAAGAAGCAGGTAACTAGTACTCACTGTGGCGGCACTTATACTAAAATTGGAATGGTACAGAGAAGATCAGCATGGCCCTTGCACAAGGATGACAGGCAAAGATTAAGGGGGGAGGGGAGATGGACAACAAAGATTAGACATGGAGACTATTCAAAATGAAGTATGACAACAACAACAACAAAACTAGAATTTTCCATTTAGTCTTTTTTTGGGGGGTGGGAGTGCCTTTGACTGAAATCATGGGAAGCAAACCTGTAGGAGAACACCCTAACCACACCTGCTCGGGGCTGGCTACAGGTGTGCCTGACCACGCTTAAAAGGTGATGTGGGGAAGGTTTAAGGGTGAGGGGCACGCACATGGTAGCCCCTTCTTCCCTTTCTTCATCGGTTTGCTCTACTTACCTGCCGGCTGGCTAGGTTGCTCTGAGTAAGTAAGGCATCTCCCTAATAAATATCTTAGTATCTTTACCTGACTCCATATTGGAATTCACCTTTTACAAACCTGAAAATGAAAAGGGACTATGTTACGTAAATCTTTCGGCCAAACCGCCTGAACCTCACCGCCACATGTGAGCTTTAGGCCCAAATGAATACACAGAAACTTGTATTAGGTTCAATGCTGCTTGGTCAATGACTAGGATTCTCATCTGTTAGTCCAGTCTTAACTATCATAAACCTATATATTTTATAAGACTTATCTTATCGGATGCCTTATTGGTGTCCCTCCTTGTCGGTGGATCACATCGTGCTGCTGGAACAGGAGCGGAGGGGGAAAGAGGGCCCTTCCTGTTTCTCCTTCGCTTAAATATGAGTCTCCTTGCTATGTCATTTCCTGTCTGGATCATCACTTCTCTACTACATTTCCCAGAATCCTCCCCGACTCCCAGTCCTGCCTAACTTGCTATTTCATTGGCCAAACTGTATTTTACTTAACAGTCAATAAGACAAACATACACAGTACATTCCCCATCAGGACTATAACCAGGCAATGGTGGCGCACAACTTTAATCCCAGCACTCAGAAGGCAAAGGTAGGTGGATCTCTGTGAGTTCGAGGAGACCAGGACTGTTCCACAGGGAAACCCTATCTCAAAACAAAACAAAACAAAACAAAACAAAACAAAACCCAACAACAAAAAACCCAACCCTGAAAAGTAAACTCAGCCACATTAATTACATTGGTTATCAATATTCAGAACACTCCAATTACAAGTTGGAGGGTTATCGATCTCAATGGCAGAGAGTATATTTTTTAGCATTGCACAAAACCCTAGATTAAGTTTCCAAGGTAGAAGATAGGTAGATGATAGATAGATAGATAGATAGATAGATAGATAGATAGATAGATAGCACTTGGGAGGCTGAGTCAGGAGGAGCAAAAATTCAAAGGTCAGTCTGGGCTACTTACAAGACCAGATCTCAAAAAGAAGCACATTTAGTCTGCTGTGGCTATTTTCTAAGTCATGCCAATGCTTTTTAAAAGTTATAACTAATGAAGTTTCTGCCTTGCCTGTCTGTGGAATTTGTAAGTCCATTGACAGCTGGCACAATACTGTGAAATGGAATGGAACGATTTGTAGATTAACTGGGAATTGTTTTCATGATTGATCCCATGGTTGTGCTAGCTCACAATGGAGGCTTCTCTGCTAGGGTTCAACATTTACTTCACATAGCCCTCAGTTCCCACAGTCCTTAGACACTAGCCATCCTGGTGGATGCTTTCACACACCTCAGCACTCCCTTGAAATAATGTGTCTGCGGTACCTCCCTCTCAGGCCGCTGCTCCCGAGAGTCCTGAGAGCACCTCCGTGTAACACGAAAAATAAAAGACCCAGAGACTGATACTGGGGTTCACTGAAGATCAGAAAAGCAAAGCAGCCGGCCACTAGCTCTTACTCTACCTCAGACTGAAAGGCGTTCCTGGCACCACCAAACCTCAGACTGCTGCCTCTCCTCAACGTGGCTGGAGAATCCTGAGATTTCAGTGTCTTCCTATCCTCAATGTGGCTGGAGAATGAATGCCAGCTCTGAGACCTTGTTCCTGTCTTATATACCTCCCTAATGCTGGGATTAAAGGCCTATGATCCCGGTGTTGGGATTAAAGGCATGAGCTCTGTTATTCACTCTTGTGTAGGCCATGGTGGCCTTGAAATAAGAGATCCATCTACCTCTTAATTCTGAGTCCTGGGATTAAAGGTGCGTGCCACCACCACCTGACCTCTATAGCTTGTGGCTGACTTTGCTTTCTGAATCCTCAGGCAAGCTTTAATAAATGATAAACAGTATATCACCACACCTCCGTGGGTGAGGATACTTTGTGTTCACCTTGTGTTCATCCAGGGCTGCAGTGTTATCACTAGAGATAAAGTTCAAGGGTGCTCTTTACTCATCTTCTGCATAGTTTTTTCCCACGTCTTTTGAGACAGGGTCTTGCCATGAGTAGCCCAGGCTGACCTTAAACTTTAAGCAATTCTCCTATCTCAGACTCCTAAATGCTAGGATTACAGGATCACCACTGTGACTCGTTTCAAACTACCTTAGTTTGCCGCCCTTCTGACTCAGCCTTTGACATCATGTAAAAATCGGTAAAAGGAAGAAACTCCGGGCCTCCTTGTGTGCAGTATCTATTACGAATGAGACATTTGCCAGAAGCTCCCACAGGCTTTTTTTCCTAGCCCCTTAGGCAAAAAGTGGGTCACTTCTTCTAGTCACATGCAAAGGCCAGCAATTGTGACTGGCTGAGATAACTTCTTGATTTACGATAGGGACCCAAATGAAGTCTGTAGCCTCAGCAAAAATGGTGAATTTCAGGGACAGGAATAAGGTTCTGCCAATGCAGGAGGCAGGATGGGCTTGGAAGTGAGTTAAGCAGGCTCTGGTTAGACCACGGGGCACCGTAGCGTGGGAGGAAGGATAAGCAAGAAACTTCCCCTTACGAAGCTTCATTTTTACTACAACTGGTTTAAGATGATTTGTATGAATATTGAAGGAGTTGGTTTTCTGGATCCTTTTCCGGAAAGAGTCAATACTTGGCATGCAAAAGACAAGTATCTGGAGAACAGCGATTTGATATGTCACTGAGAAATCCCCAGATGTACATCTCATGCAGCTTCCTTCCCATTTAGTCGTCCCGGGGTCCTGCATGGTGTATTACTTTACCGCTCTGCTTGGCTCTGAAGGCTTATTTGGGCTGAGTCACTCAAGCCACACTGGCAGAGTTGGCCTTCGGATCTAGATCAGTCCGGTTCTAAGACTGAAGGGACCAGCTCACCTTTCAGCAGCCATAACAGCCGAACACGTGCTTGCCATAAACTTGCCTTGGTCACTTAGAGGTCAGATGCCTGCCTTGTGACAAGGAACCAATCAGAAGTTAGCTGGTGGGACTATGCTTTATGACACTGGGGGTGCTTTACGGACAAGCTCATAGCAATGACGCACAAAGCATAGCAACCACCCTGGGAGGGCCTATGGGCCATAACAACCAGTTGGCCAATCAACACAGGGCAAGCCCTCCAAGCCTGGAGGCACACCATTAGTGAGCCTGTGCGTTCCCCTAGACACTCCCCTTACACTGCCCGATAAGATCTCTTGGGAGGCCCTAGGAACTGTCTTTTCTAGCTGTCCGCCATGGCGGGGGGTTGAAAGACCCGAGTTAACATGGGGGTAGCTCGTTAAATTACAATAAAGCCTCGTGCAGTTTGCAGCAAGCTCTCGAATCCGCCTGGTGATTGGGGTGAACGAAGTCGTGGCCTGGGACCCCTGATACCTGAGTTTTCCAGGGGTCTAACAAGACGTGCAAATTCTTCCCTGCCAGACCAATTCTAATCAACTCTCTCAATAGTCGGAACTGATCTTGTTTGTCTCAGAGTCAAAACACGTGTTTCACTTTTGTGTCTGGCTTTTAAAACACGGTGAAGTAAATCCTGGAAATAGTGTTTTGGCAGCAGCCAGTGAGCACATGAAGGCAGATGTTCTCTCTCGGGCCAGCAGTCAGTGAGCACAAGAAGGCAGGTGTCCCCCCTCAGGCCAGCAGCCTGTGAGCACTCGATGAAGGCACGTGTTTGTAGTGTGGTCTAGCCTGTAATGGTGGCCACATTTGGTCGTCACGGGCCCACGCCTTTGGGCGTGGCTTCATGCAGATGGAAGCAGAGAGGGAAGCAGAAGGCTTGGTCTCGCTTGCTCCTGCTCTTTTTCTTGGGTCAGCTGATCTGGAAAGAAAGGAAGAGAAGTGCTCTCGCGGTTCTTTGTATTTTGTTGTGTAAGATCATTTATCTTGGATCTAGTGAAATCTTTACACCCTTGCCTTCAGGTGTTCCCTTTCAGGCCGGCAGTCGGTGAGCACATGGCGAAGGCAGGTGTTCCCTCTCAGGGAGTGCTAAGGGGTTGAAAGTGAGTCTTTTCAGTCTGTTAAGTAGACACAGATGGGTGGCAGAGTTCAAGGCCAGCCTGATCTATATAGCAAGTTCCAGACCAGCCAAGGTTACAAGAGCCAGACCCTGGTCTCAAGAAAGTGAGTCATATGTCCGAGGGATCCGAGTCAAATTACCTAACCTTGCAGAGTCTCAGATACACTATAAGGACTGCTAAGTAGACTCACTGCTATGCAGAGACTTCCAGAAGAACCCTCATTTTGGACCTTCCTTCCACCTTCAGCAGCACGTTCTAGTATAAAACTAAATTTCGGAGCCGGGCGTTGGTGGCACACGCCTTTAATCCCAGCACTCGAGAGGCAGAGGCAGGTGGATCTCTGTGAGTTCGAGGCCAGCCTGGTCTCCAGAGCGAGTGCCAGGATAGGCTCCAAAGCTACACAGAGAAACCCTGTCTCGAAAAAACAAAACAAAAAAAAAACAAAAAACAAAAAAAAACTAAATTTCACAGAGGTAGAATTCAGAGCTGATTGCCTCTCTAGCTAAACTCGTTCAACTAAAAGAATAGACCATCTCGGGCATTATGCTTCTTGAATTTGTTTTGTTTTGTTTTGTTTGAAACAGGGTCCCTCTGTAGCTCAGGCTGACCCGGAACTGCCTCTTCTTCTCAACTGCTGGGATCAAAGGCCAGCACCACCACACCTGGCTTCTTGAAACATTCTTAAGGCCTGTTTGTGTAGTAAATCATTGGAGTGACGGCCAACCAAAATTCTCACTTCATTGTTTTGTAGTAGCTGTTAGAGGGTGGATGTTGAACAGTGTGCTAAAGCAGCTAGGCCTCAGTGGGTCCGGTGCTACTCTTTTCCTTCTGTATCCTTACTTACCCTCTTCTGACTCTCTTAGAAGCAGTGAGCTCACTTGTTTCCCTGGATTCTCCCGAAGTCCAAAGCGGTCTCCTGATTGTCAAATCAAGGTCCTGAGGCATGCTGCACAGTCCCCAGTGTGCGTCATCTTTTAGTAGCTCCAAAACCAGGCTTCTGAGACCTGTTCTAGGGACCCCACCTCAACCATAGTCCCACATCTAATGCACTATCTTATCCGTCCCTTCATCCGGCCTGGCCCCTTCTAGGTAACCCGGGAACATAGACCCTAACTTACACCTTTTGTTTTCTAAGGGGAAGAAGGAATGGACTAAGCAGGCATTGATCTGTTTCATTGCCTTCGCAGGCAGTCTAAACATGAAACACCACATTGTCTCCCATGAAATTCCTCCTGGAATGTTAGCATTTACTGACTGGTGCAGACAAGTCTGTTTTTCTTAGTTTCCTGCTCACACTGTGTCACGTATCCGCTGCTGTGTAACACCATCACTACAAAAAGAAGTGCTTAAAGCAGCCCGATCTGCAGACCAGTCAGGTGGACGCTCTGCCTTTGGTTTACTGGATGAGTTATCTCAGAGTGTTTTTAAGAGTATGCTTGTGTGACGTGATGCTGGCAGTCAAAGCTGGTATCCGTTGGGCATGAACTGTCCAGCACTAGGTTATCCATAGGTACCATTCCAGTCTCATCATCAGAGTTTATCAAAATGTGCCCGATGCCACCACTTCGCCATCTGTCTGCATAGAGAGTACCTCAGAATTCTGAGAGTGGCTTTACCCAAGTCCAGATAGGTCTGGCGACTGCCTGGTCTTACTCCTAAGCTACCATTACACAGCCTTGCGCCTGTGCCTATCTTCTCTGTAGAAGTCAGAAGAATACTGAACCCTGCAGGATCTCAGCTTACACTTTGGAAGAGGGTGAAGGTTGGGCTCCTGGCTTCAGAGGGTTTGTCTCCTGCTTTTGCTGTTTTATTATAGTAAAAAGCTGAAGTACACCATTGGACTTCTCAAAGTTCCCTGGACAGAGAGAAGAACTGACTTTGGGTCGTACTGCATTTTTTCTTTTTAAACCAGAGCTGTTTTGTTATCTTTATAATTTTGCAGGTTTAATAGGAATTGGGAAAGTCATAAATGTAAACTGCCCTCTGGCAATTGAACCGTTAGCGTCTATCCAGACTTTGTTCCCTTAGAGTCAGGCATCGCTTCGGCTCCCAGAAGCCCAGCCTCTCTTACTCTCCTGGATTGGACTCTGACAGCCATCTTGGACGTTTGTCATTTTCCCCAATGCTGAGGTGGGAGGGGAGAATTTGTAGAGTTTTTCTTTACATTTCTTAGATCGTGATTTTTTTTTTTTTTAATGAACTTGGAAGGACATTTAGCTGGTATTGGACCACAGAGAGGCAATCTGGTAATGCAGGTCAGATGCAGAGGGCATCCCCAGCCTGTCCAAGACCTGAGGACCCGTCCCCAACACCAAAGAAAGGAGGAGTACACAAAACAGCAAACTTTTAATCAGTTGTGGTAGAGTCAGGCTGAAAGGGTTATGTTGTATTTATATTGAATATTTAAAATGTTATG